GACGCTTAACCGACTGCGCCACCCAGGCGCCCCTGGAGTTCTTTCTTAACTCCAAACCTCCTGGCAAGATTTCCATACAAGTACCAGAACAATCTACCTCCGTGAAGACATGACAGGACCCACCTCCTCCCCAGATACAGTAAGAATGTGTAGAGAGTAAGAATGCACAATGCCTTCACTGTGCATGAGGACCAGCCTGGGACTTTATTAAAATACAGATTCCTAAACCTGCAGTGATTCGGATGTAGGGTGGGTTCAGGAATCTGCCTCTGTGGCCAGCAACTGCGGAGATTCTACCACGGGCAATTGACAGATCAGAAGTGAACACTTGGCTTTCTGATTCACAATCTAGACAATCTAGACTGTTTCCTTGTGACCAAGCTGCTCTCAGGCTGTGAGCAGGTTGTAGTAACTACATTTCGTTCCTATATCTGATGCTTTGACATCCTGGGCCTTGCTAGCCCTGGGAGGACCATCTTCCCAGAGTTAGCAAGCTCCAAGGGATAATAAAAGACTCACCTGTAAGCAGGTCATTCCTGTGCAAACCAACCATCCAGAGCCCACACTTCCCACCCACCTCCTTTATTTAATTCAGCTCTCACACTCAAGGTCACTATCCCTGTCCTCATCACTGGGGGGGAGGGGGGAGGCAGACACCAGATAACTAGGGACAACCCCTATGCCCCACAGCCTGCTGAGATTATTCCGACTAGACTAGTAAACCTGTTTACTCTGCCTTGCCTGTCTCTTCCCACAGAAATAACAGCAAAGGCTTTTTTTTTTAAAGTTTATTTATTTTGACAGAGAGAGAAAGAGAGAGAGAAAGAGTGAGAGCAGGGGAGGGGCAGAGAGAAAGTGAAAGTGGAGGCAAGGCAGAGAGAGAGGGAAAGAGAGAATCCCAAGCAGGCTCCACACTGTCAGTGCAGACCCCAATGCAGGGCTCTAATTCATGAATCTTGAGATCATGACCTGAAGCCAAAGTTGGACACTTCACCGATAGAGCCACCCAGGCACCCTACAGGAAAGGCTCTTGCCCACATTTTCACGGCTCCCTCTGCCTGCGGACCAAGTGTGTGCTTCCCAGTGTGCCCCCATGGCCTCTCCTAGAGGGACTGTGAGTCCAACAAGCCATCTGATGGGTCTGGCCTCATCACACCTGAATAATAATAGTACAATCTCCATCTTAAAACTCTAGGCTGCTTTTTCTAGGAAGAAAAGCTCTTACAGGTCACTGAGAGCAATGACAACACACAAAAGGGTGTGGCAGGTGCCAGCAAAGACTTATGAGCATTCACCTATGGTTAAAAGCCAACGAAATGCTGGTAAAAACAACATTCCTGGTTCACACGGAAGCTCCTCCTAATGCAGCTCCTAAGAGCTCCATTTCCCACTGACACCTACCTCACGGAGTGGGATGATGAGGCTACACAGGTTCTCCTCCTTGCTGGTAAAGCAGATGTAATTTGTGGACACAAACATCTGCCCCAAAATGTGCATTTTGTTGAATGGAGTCCAGAGGGTGCAGTCTGTGTGGCCGTCTAATTTTTCATCTTTCGGCAGTCGGAAAAGTGCACGGTATCTCTCACTCTTTGCCCTGGCATCAAGATCGCTGGAAGGCAGGGACAGTGTCACCTCACGCAAGAGCAAGGTTTCCGTTCCTTCTCAAGGACGTGCCAGTGGACGTTCCCCAGCCCATCTCTCCGCCCCTCGATCTCGCCAGACGTATCCCTACCTTCTTGGCTTTCTACTGGAGCTAACTCCAACCTATGACTCAAAAGTGTAATATAACTACTTTGATATATTTAGGTCCCTTGTGTAGTCGTTTTACAATCAATATCTATAAATGTTCAAGAATCTTAGGAAAACTAGGCCTGGATAGGAAATCCATTCTTTTTCTAAAGGAATACAATAATTTCTAACAAGATTATTCCATTTGTATTTATCCAGAGCCACTTTCTGGGCTTTACCTTTTAAGAAAGACCTAATGAGAATGCAAACCAGCCTCATGAATCTGCTGGCTATCACTGTCTGTCCTAAAAAGACAACAAAATTGCCTGAGACACAGGAACAACCCATCTCTCCGACAACCAGAGTTTCTAACCTCAGCTCGGTCCTCTGTGACTACAAACTTTTTCCTTTTTCCTGCTCATCATGTCGGTCGGTGGTTCAAACCTCTCCTGTCAAACTTCTATGCCGCCTCAACCTCTGGGTGGTGGAGTTTCTGGCTTCACACAGCAAAGAGGAGCTCCCCTCCTCCCATAGCCTCCTCCCTCCTACTTGCAAATTACCTCCATCCTCACCTATTCTTACTTCCTTTCCATTTCAGAGGGAGAGGCATCTGCACACACAAGCATCTTTTTCAAGGCCCTTTCAGATGTCACTATTAAAATAACTGGTTTTCTTACAGCTGTAGCTCTGTGTTCCCTCCTTCCCTGCAGCTACCCTCACCACAAACTCATCCCAGGCTATCCTATATTCAAATCTTTTACGTTCTATCAGAGCAACCCCCTCCTTTCCCATTGCATTTCTTGAAAAAGCAAGTCTATACTTGCCTAATTCCCGCTCCTTGCCTTCCATCTGCTATTCAATCCACCACAGTAACACCATTCACCCACAACCACTCCACTGAAACACGTTTTTTTTTTTTTTTTTTAATTTTTCTTCAACGTTTATTTATTTTTTTTGGGACAGAGAGACAGAGCATGAGCAGGGAGGGGCAGAGAGGGAGACACAGAATCGAACAGGCTCAGGCTCCGAGCCATCAGCCTGACCTGGCCCAGAGTTTGGACGCTGCTCGAACTCACGGACCGCGAGATCGTGACCTGGCTGAAGTCGGACGCTTAACCGACTGCGCCACCCAGGCGCCCCGAAACACGTTTCAAATCACCAGGCATCTTAATTGCAGTGATCTCTTGTCAGGTCCCAATTGCCAGCTATATGCCAGCGATTTCCAATTCCATATGTGTTACTGGACCAATCTCCATTGTGATGCTCTGCAGGCAACTCAACATGATCAAAACCAAGCTCTCCCATCCCTTAGACATGCTCTCCCTCTCTCATTCCCCATCTCGGTCCAGGACAATTCCATGCATACACTCACACTTGAGAGCACCAACTTTTTCCTTGCCTTCTCTCTAGCCCCACTCCCCCATCCAGACTTCCAGGCTTCTCTGCAGCCTCTCCTCATCCCATGACCTGCCACTTTCCAGATATTAATGGACTCACTTCCCTCTATGCTCTTCCCTTGTGATTCCTGCATCAGGTTATTCCCTCTGCCTGAAATATCCATCCTACTAAATCTACATAGGCAACTTCTACTACCTCCTGAGAGTCCACTCCAAGCAGCCTCCATTGAGGGCCTTTTCCACCACCCTGCCCCATCTCCCGGTGCGTGTGCCCATGGCGCACCGCCCACAGGACCGGAAGAGTTCCCGTCACTTTGTGCCAAAGCTGGCTGTCTGCCTCACTCACTGAACTGTGACTGCTTCAGACAGTCTCTTTCAGTTCTGTATCGATACCCAGAAAAGTCTTGAAAACCCTTGAAGTGGTTAAGAAAAGGTTAAATTTCATAAAAGAATGTAAGGGTTTCTTTTTTCTAAAGCGTGTAAGACTCTGTCTCTGTCACCTACCGTTTTAGAGCCGACACTTTCTTAGGAGACTTCTTTTTCAGTTTGGGCAGGGATCTATCTTGTTCAAATCCCTCGTTGTCTAAAAGTTGCCTCATGGCTATGTTGGCGAGCTGCTCCATTAACTTGAAAGTCTCATTGATGTTGAGAAATACAGAGAAGAAATGTTCGCTGGACCTCGTGCTCACTTTGATCACATCAGGGAGAAGCAGCGTGGCATTCTTCTCAAGCTGTGTGATGTCCACCCACCGGATTACCAGCTTGGCTGAGCACAGGGAACAAGGCTGGTCAACACCTGGCTCCTTCAAAGCCCCTGAGGATCCTTCAGCCTCACAACCCAACCCCCAATCTCGGTGCACTCCTTTTCTTTGAGCTTGCATGCCCGTATTTAATACTATTTTGTTTGCTTAAGAGACAAACTCAAACCACATAAATTCTGAGTTCATAATCATTATGGATTTAAGTTCACGTCAACTACATTAACTATAACTTTGGTGAATCTTTATTACTTAATAACCATTTTTGTTTACAAGTATTAGACAAAAATAATTGACTTCACTTGTTAAATAGTTAAAACACAGTGTTGACCCAGTCATAACTATAGACCTATTTTTGGCACTTTGATGTGGTTTATGAGTTCAGGGTGAACCTCAGCAGACTCTCCCAAGCTTCCCCCTGAAACTCTAGACAACTCACCTTCCCTTCCCATAAGGAAAGAGTAAAAGCAAAGGTGGTTAATACTGAGGTACATCCAACCCTGACGGGGGACCTTCCCCTTCCAGTAGCTACAAGAATAATAGTTGACGAGCTTCTCTTCCTCGGGCATCCCAAACAGCCTGTGGAATTTCACGATGGCTTCTTTAAACTTCTCCGTGTCATCATCTTCCTTCACATCGTTGATCTTGTTATACTCTGCAATGATGCCCTAAGCGAGGATAAAACAAAGCATGCAGCCAGTATTAATACGACTGGGGCTGCTTTTTTCTGTATGCTATAGATATTGGAGAGGAAAGAAGAGAACAATTTCTAATGCTACAATTTTCTTTAAAATTGATCAATTATTTTCGAAGGCAACCCCCAAATTCTAAGCCAGTTACCAAGGAGCATCTGTGTACTAAAAGATTTTGAAATGACAATATAGATCTGCGTATCTGTTTGTTGGTGCTAATCATGTTATTAAGTTCACTTAGGATGAAGCCCATAGTTTTATTTTCCAAATGTGAAGATGTAAAGATTTTGCAAGTTCTACTGCTTTTCCTAGCTCACCATGATAGAGCCATCCCAAAGGTCAAGCTCTACTTTTCTCAAAGCTACTTCTACATGGAAAGAATAGAGATGGTTGGCTTTGATGGAGACCAGGGAAGATCCATTTTGAACTAAAACTATTTTGGGGGTGAGCGGGCTTTGGTAGCGTGCTCTATTAGGGAACTTGAGACAACCATGAGGTGGCATGAGGGCACTGAACCTCTGGGTGGGAAGAAGTAGCCAGTTCAGAAGAAGGATGGAAAAACCTTTCCCAATTGGCAAATACACCTACAGCCTGTGTGACATTTCAAGTTATCAGTGCCTTTAGAGGGGGATCGAAAATTTTTATATAAGAAGAAATAAACGAATAAATAAATAAAAGTGACTGAATGGGAACCCACTAATAACTAGTAGCAGTCAGGTTCCTAGGCAATCCTGATGGCCAATAGACTGAGAGTAAGCTTGGAGACCCTCAAGTGGGCTAATACTTGCTCTTTCCTGGACCACTTAGCAGGGCTTGGACCTAAAGTCAGAATAAGGAGACTATTAGAAGGAAGTGATGTATAACAAACCAAATGATACCCTTTTTTTGAGTGGAAAAATATTCAAACTACATTATCCAAGATCTACTAAATACCACACTTTTAGAATGCTCATCTAAATTTATGAGATAATTTATGAGGCTACTGAATTGAGAAACAATACTCTGGAACACTCCAGGGCCTAATACACTAATGTCAACAGACCAGGCCTTGCCAAGTAATTTCAAGAGTAAAGGTAATAGTCCCTATTAAGGTTCAACTCCCAACTTCCCCACCTTTAAGAAAAGAGAGGATCCAGAATGAAGAACCTCTCCTTAGTTTGCTATAATTTTTTAGCCAGGTGGACTGGATGATGGAACAAAGGGATGGAATATCTCCTTCCTTTATTTTTTTAATTTATTAAAAAAAATTTTTTTAACGTTTATTTATTTTTGAGAAAGACAGAGACAGAATGCGAGTGGGTTAGGGGCAGAGACAGAGGGAGATACAGAATCCGAAGCAGGCTCCAGGCTCTGAGCTGTCAGCACAGAGCCTGATGCAGGGCTTGAACTCACGAGCTGTGAGATCATGACCTGAGCCAAAGTCGGATGCTCAACCGACTGAGCCACCCAGGCGCCCCTCTCCTTCTTTTATGTTCTACAGGTTCTACATAACATACAATTGGTTGCCCTGATTCCAGGCAACAGCTCCACATATAATCCAAATACTTGGAAGGTCCAATATAAATTTAAATATGCAAAGGACACTGACAGAGAATTCACAAAAAGGAAAATTAACTTAGCAAACATAAAAAAAAGTCCAACCTCATAATCAAAGACAGAAAATTAAAACAAGACCTATTAACTTTGCAAAACCATTTAAACAACCAGATTGTTGAAAAGTAAGCAAATTACACAGGGATTCCAATACACTGATAATCTCTAGTAAGGTCCATTAAAAATGTGTATACTAACTCAGTAACCAACATTTTGTAATCTATCCCAAAGGAAAGAAAAACTATAAGAAATCTTATATGAACACAAGTGTTCACTGCATTATATTACTGTTTGTGTCTGTTCCCCTTGGCCTAGAAGCTAGGGAGACTTCTAGAAAGAGAGGAATTGTAAGGTCAATAGTGGGATGATATGCCATTACTAAAACAACAACTAAAAATTATATAACAATACCAGTCAAGGAAACAAAGACATGATACAAAACTGTATAGTACGGTAAGACTACTATTATGATAAAATGCACTCCAGAAATCTAGAAAGAAATACACTCTATGGGTTTGGATTATGGCTGCCTCTGTAGTTAATTATTATATTTATAATTTATAAAAGTTAATTAAATCTCAAAACAAATAAATTTGTTGGTTCCCTTCATTACTGGACAACTGGGAATGCTTAAACCATTCATTTGCACATGAATGACATTCTTTCACACATAATTGCATTAATAGCAATTCCTTCTTCATAATTGGTTTCAGGGGAATTAAATGTGACATTTTGGGTGTAATACAAACAGTGAGAAGAACAGCTATTTGACATAATTGGTTCTTGTTTTATTTTTTGTTTTTTCACGTTTGTTTTTGTTTTCCTCCTGGCTATTGTCACTTCTAAGTTTCAGTTTCCTCCTATAGCTCTTTATTTGTATCTATCATCCAAAGACATGCCATCTGAGGGAGGACTAGGAAATTGTAATGGAGAACCTCAGTAGTGGCTCCTGGATGGGAAAGAGGCCTCAAGCCCTTTCTGGCACCAGTCGCTGCCCCCTATGATGCAGTCAAATGAGGAAACTCACACTCTATCCATTTACATTACTTCCCAGAAGGTCAGTACATGACTCAGAAATGAAATGAAGAAGTTATAAAATCAGATGGGTTTTATCAGTAACACAACTCTCCATTACTCAGGAACCCCTTTTTTGTTTGGAAGCTCTCACCTCCTCCCAGCTTCAAACTGAACCTTTCCAATGTCCTCCTTGCTCTCATTTTTACCCTCTTCATTACGTGTCTAGTCTCTTTAATTACAACAGAGTAGAAATGAACTGAAATCAGCCGTCTTGAAGCAGTGATAAATATCCATCTTGAGGGGCAAAGGGAGGGAGAAAGGGAGAGGGTGATGAGTTGTATGTGTTTTTGTGCTACTTAGCCCTCTCTAATTTTATGTGGTCCAGGTAAAATTCAGTTCTCTCCTTCCACAACATTAGACCCTAAACAGCAATGAAATTCCACTTCTTTTTCAGATTATGAAATTACTACTTGCTCATGTAAAAGTTTAGTGAAGGAGAAGAAATCAAACAGAAATTGACCATCCTGTGGAATTTTAATGAGAAGCAAACTATCAGATCACTTCCTAGAATTCTTCCTTAATCTGGGTATAAAGAAAGGCTTTCTAACTATGACTAAAAATCTGGAAAGAATTTTTTTTTTTTTTCAACGTTTATTTATTTTTGGGACAGAGAGAGACAGAGCATGAACGGGGGAGGGGCAGAGAGAGAGGGAGACACAGAATCGGAAACAGGCTCCAGGCTCTGAGCCACCAGCCCAGAGCCCGACGCGGGGCTCGAACTCACGGACCGCGAGATCGTGACCTGGCTGAAGTCGGACGCTTAACCCACTGCGCCACCCAGGTGCCCTGGAAAGAATTTCTAATCTTGACTAAATAAAACATTTAAGCATCCCATGGCAAAAACTATCATGAGCAAAGTCAAAAGACAAATGACAAATTCAGAGAAAATATCACCCACAAAAGGCTAATGGCTTTTATATAAAAGAACTTTTAAAAATTAAAGAAAAATAAGACCAAAGTCCCATAGAAAAATAGGCAAAAGACAACAGCAGACAATCTATAGCTATATAAAAATGGCCATTAAATACCTGAGATGTTCAACTTCACTTATAAGTGAGGTAAATACAAATTAAAACAACACTAAAATATTTTTCTCCCATCAGATTGACAAAAACTCAAAAGCTTGATAATCTACCTGTGGGTGGATTATCCTGTGGGGAAACAGGCATTCCCCTACAAGCCAATGGGAATGTAAAAGGTTACAATTTCTGTAGCGGGGGGAGGGGGCATTTGGTAATATTCAGCATTTTCTACATGCATTTTCTATTCTACCAGTTTATCTTAAAGATACATCCCTACAATACAAAAATACACATGCATATATACATACATGTTTATTACTATATGCATGAAGTATAATTCATGCATATACTGTATATTTGTGTGTATATGTGTATATGTAGACAGATAAGTATAATTATAAAATATCGTAAACCACTTAAATGTTCAAGCATAAGAGAGTGCTGAGTTCTCTACGGTACATACACACATAATATGCACCCATTAAAAAGAATTAGGCACATGGGGGCGCCTGGGTGGCGCAGTCGGTTAAGCGTCCGACTTCAGCCAGGTCACGATCTCGCGGTCCGTGAGTTCGAGCCCCGCGTCAGGCTCTGGGCTGATGGCTCAGAGCCTGGAGCCTGTTTCCGATTCTGTGTCTCCCTCTCTCTCTGCCCCTCCCCCGTTCATGCTCTGTCTCTCTCTGTCCCAAAAATAAATAAACGTGGAAAAAAAAAAAAAAAGAATTAGGCACTAAATGCAACATGGGAACCTGGATTGGATCATGGAATAAAAAAGGACATGAAATGGCAAAACTGGTAAAATCCAAATTAAGCCTTTAGTTAGCAATATTGCATTAATGTTCATTTCTTAGTTTTGATAAATATACTATGGTTATAGAAGATATTAATATTAATGGAAGCTGAGTAGTAGGGTCTATGGGAATTCTCTGTCCTATCTTTACAGTTCTTCTGTAAATCTAAAAATTAATAATATTTCAACATAAAAACCAAACTATCAAAATGTTTTTTAAATAACAAATAATCACACACAACATGTGCATACTCTCTATGAACTGATATGAGGTGTTACCCAAGAGTTACTGACTGAAAAGAGCAAATGCAAAGGAGCATATATACATGAAGGCTTATGTGTAAGAATTAAAGAGAAATTAAAAAACAAAACAAAACATATACCAGCCTCTTTTCACAAAAAGAAACACAGGAAGCATAGGCCCGATAACAATGAGGTTGGTTAATTGCAAGGGGTTGGGGAGAACAGGATAGCAAGACTGCAGAAGGGAGTAACATTTTGAGGAATTTAAACTTTCGGAAGCAAGTTAAAATTTTCTGCATGCAAAAAATAATATTAAACTATGCAGGAAAGGAGATAGGGCCTGAAACTGAAAGCGAACAGAAACAAATGGCTGATTCCAGGACTGGGACGGAGAAAGTGCAGAGGAGTCTAGGACATCCTGCTATAGCAGAAGTAAAGAAGTGCTCAAAAAAGCAACAGGGACATGTCACAAGGACAAAGGAGGCAATCTGTAGGTGTTTCCTCTAGCTAAACCTGGGATAGTGTGGGTACCAAAATAATTAAGCCCAGTAATGAAACATTAACAACCGAAAAACAGGAATCCATGAGTCGATACCAAAACAAATAGATAAATAAATGATGAGAGAGCCCTTGCTTATAGTAGAATAGCATTCTTATAGAGAATGCTGGAGTTGGAAAATTATCAGTTTGTAAAAACATCACAGCAAAGATTGGTTCAGACAAAAAAAATCGTCAAGGGATGATTCCTCACTAAATCATGGGGAAATTTTGATAAGGAATAGGATATTTGTGTAGCCTTAAAATATTTTCCTACAGAAAAGTTCAAATTGTTTATTATTTGAAGAGGCAAATTAGTAACTCTACAGTGGAGAAACTGGGTAGGTAACACCTGGCTGGGGTTATATCGCCCAGCGAGGGGAGATGGGTATCATGTGTCCCCAGAACTGATACTCTTAAAAGCACATAAGATCACTTATGAAGTGTTCCACCTGGGAATACATAATCAGAATCAAATCACAGGAAATATCTGACAAAACCCAAAATGAAAAACATCCCATTAAAAAAACCAGAACTTATACTTAAAATCATGAATGTCATAAAAGACAGAGAAAGGCTATAGAAATGTTCAGATTGAAGAAGACAACAGACGAAAACCAACTCAACAGCTTCCTAAACTAGATCTTGTGCTGGACTGAAAAGAAAAAAAATGTTGTACATTGGGTCAATTAACAAAATTGGAATATGTGCCAAATATTAAGGTATGATGTGAATGTTAAATTTATTGTGGGTGATAACTGCAGTGTTATTATTCAATAGAACATTCTTAGAAATACACAGTGAGGTATTTGGAGGAAATTCCTCTCAAATAGAAAGTAAATGAGCACTCACACGATAATGTAGCTGGGTATAATGTTAACAACAGGAGAATATGCAGATGGTCTACAGGTATGGCTTTACACAATTCTTATTTTTACAACTTTTCCGTAAATTTGAAATTATTTCCAATTAAAAGTTAAAACTAAACAAAACAGACAACCCACTACCTGTATTTTTCCTCTCACAAATGTGGTGATATCATTCTCGTTTTCAAAGATGGAGAGTGTCTGCAGCAGATTCTGCTCAAGCCATTCCCAGTGTTCGGTGATTTCTTTTCTGGAACCACCTGTACGAATGTAAAGATGATAACAGAATTTTCGGAATTTAAAAGATATGTAAACGGGCTCAATTCATCAATATGCAATGTCACTAAAGGAGACAGCTGCATTTAACTGCTTTCTCCTCTTCAGAGGAGACGCAGAGGACAAGTAGCGATGTGAAAACCCAAGAGTAAGTACTGTGTTATAGTCAAGTCTGACCAGGTGAGTTCAGACACTTTTCGCACACTGTTTCCACGTAGAAGGTAGCAGCATCTCTCCCGTTCACTTTTATGGATTGGGACTTGAGCACTATCTTCCATTTTTCTCCCTCCTAGAACCTGCACTTCACAGAGTAACGTAGATCTTGCTAGGACACTAGGTTACTTTTGTTAAGCTGCAATAATGAGAGCTTTGGTATGCCACTGGAGGTCTGATGTAACTACCTCCTATAATGGGCAAAAATTATCCCCACTCACTTCAATTATGAATGAGATGTGAAAATGGACTATCGCTAGGGAACAGCCGCCTGGCTCTCACGGGCACAGCTGCCTTGAAACGTAATGGGATGAGGTCATCCTCACAGCCTCCGACCAAGTCTCTACACTCGGGTAGGGAATAAGAAGCATAAGTCACCTCACCTGGCAACCTCCACATTTAAACAATCCTAGCCTGTAGCCTATGTAACGGGCACTTCTCTGCTCACAACTGCAGGGCATAACACAGAGGCCGTCAGGATGTGGCTGTAAAGACACTGGACTAAATCCCCTCCCCTTTTATTCTTGCCCTGGGATTGTTAACGATCTTGCAGAAAAACAATGTTTTATAAATCATTCATATGCCATATATATAAATCGTATGCACTGCTCATTCCAGAATTAAGGAATGATTTTGTGACTCCACTGATCCAACCTCCTGGCATCTCTTTCAATTTCCAAGCTTCCTTTTATGTGATTTCTTAATAGTGTCTTCCCTCTTTATTCTCTGTCACCAGTAACTCAAAGTATCTCAGAATCTCATTCTGACTCCTGACAAGGAAGGGAGACATGAATGCGCCTACAATGATACCAGAACTGTAGGAGGAAAACTAAAATCTCTTTGAGAATGAGGTAGGTTTGAGAGGTTTCAGACCCACTATTTAAGGAGAGGCAAAACAAAACAAAACCCAAGTTCATTTTCTTTTACTTTAAACACCAAAACTGCCTTCACAGAATGCTGACGTAGAGGGTGAAAAGCAGATTTCTTAGTGGAAAGGCAGTCCTGTGAAAACATGAGAGAACAGATTATAGCTCCCTGTGGGCATTTTCCCTGGCTCACTCATTTGGGGTCATAGTCAACCACATGCGAGGGCAATTGATGATTCTGTACTATGTCGTTATGGCGAGAGCTAGAACTCAGAACACCTGGGCCCCCCTCCCTCTGCCACTAGCCGGTTGGATCACTTTAGACAGTCTGTTTAATCTGTGAAATGGAGATGAATGAACAACAGCAACAAAAACCACAACAAACGCTTACCGATTTCAGGGCAATGCTGTAAAAATCACAAAGAATAATGTCCACAGACATACTTTGGAAAGGAGGAAATATTTTTTCAGATGCAAAGAAGAATGCCCATTTGGAATATTTAGGTAATGGGTTATTCTATAGTTTACCAGAGAGCTTTAAAACATTTTTGATTTCAGGGGAGCCTGGATGGCTCAGTCAAGCGTCCAACTTCAGCTCAGGTCATGATCTCACGGTTCACGAGTTCGAGCCCTGCATCCAGCTCTGTGCTGACAGCTTTGAGCCTGGAGCCTGCTTTGGATTCTGTGTCTTCCTCTCTCCCTGACCCTCCCCTGCTTGTGCTCGCTCTCTCTCTCTCTCTCTCTCTCTCTCTCAAAAATACATCCCAAAGAAGAACATTTGAGACTTTAAAATTTTAAATAGTCATTAGATAATTTTCTAAAATATACCGTGTCCTTCCTCGTCTGTAAACAGGTTACTAGCATCACCAGCTATAACTGGCTGTGATATACAGAGAGAGCCCGGTAAATGCCTGCCATGAGCCCTCCACCCTGGCCATCTGTGCTGGTTTGCACTGTCAGATGTATGCACCTTAGGACAGCGTCAGTCCTGGAGGCCCACGAGTCTGCTGAGGTCCTGCAGACCCATTGGGCACAGTTCCCAGCGTCTGTCTGATCTTGCCTCTCTTCTGCCCCTGGCTCTGTCGACTGCAGATATGCCTTCCACAGGCAGGTTTCCATGTGGTCTGACTGTTGACTCGTATCTCACCGTGCTCTGCCTTTGACCAAGTAGTCACATCAGATACTTGACTTTAGACGCCCTGTTAGACTGGCTGTGGAACCCAACCTCAGTTCAACCCCACCAATCCTCAGTTATCCTGGATAGAGAAGTCCATCAGCTATGAGACCTAGGACAGAACAGGTATGCCTTCAGCTTTGTACATGCTGCCTTCAAAGTGTTCTTTGTGTACATATTCCTGTAAGTACACCCATACACCCACCCCATTCCCAACACACACACGGTAAAGATGGCGTACGCATGCATGCACTCATTCAACACACATTCACTCATGCTTCCAACTCTCATGGATATAATACGAAAACATTATGGCCGATTCCCATCTACCAATAACCATCTGACCGCTCCTGTATTCGTGTTCAGATTTACAATCTACGGCCATACCACCCTGAATGCGCCTGCTCTCGTGTGAAGTTCAGATTTACTATACACATTGTTTCCCCACCTATTGCCTTCTCTGCTGTCCCAAGACCTCCTGTTCTCCACCCCGTTGTCCCACCCAACATTTCCATAACTTATACCTTCTACCACCTAACGCCATTTGCACCACTGGCTCTTCTCTACACTTCTTGCTGCTCAGGATGTGAATCCCCACATTTCTATCTTCAGTTACCATCACTGCCCTCCCCACTGCTGCTGCTTGTGCTATTTCTGTCCCGCTCTCCATCTCCTGTTGTTTCTCCCACACTTCTCAGTGACACATGAAAAGGCTGGCCTTCTAGAATGAGCCGCTCACTGAGGAGCTGACGCCGCACATCTCAACATCTTTAGGTCTTGCAGCTCTTTCAGCTTACTCAGTGCCGTGGGCCTGCTTCTGTACTACCAAACAGGTTCTGGAGGTTTCTTCTGGCTACATCTACATCTAAGACTCCAAAGTTCCAGAAGACTGAGCTCTAGATAAGAAAGAACCTTGTGTACCATTATATGAAACCATCATCACCATATACTAGTGGAGAAAAGAAAGTCTCATGTATTAGTGGAGAAAAGAAAGCCATCAGCCAATGGTAGTTTCAGGAATTAACTATGGATACTTATCTGTACCCAACGGATACTTTCCAGGGTGAGTAATGAAACACACCTTTTACATTTACTGCTTACTAGACAAAAGCACCATATTCTCTGAACGCTTTGCTAAATTCACAAAGGGTAAATGAAGACAGGGGTTCAGGGCTCCATGTTCTACAGTCTAAAAGTATGACAACACCTATAAAGCAGAGCCTGATTTCCTGACCCAGCAGACAAAACAGATTCTGAAGATGCCAGTCTCATAAAAAGTATTTCTGAAATCAGGTGTCCATTTCTGTCCACTTCTCACTCCAGAACAAAGAGTCCACGTTACATCTCAGAGATCACAGAGCAAATGCCCTGCCAACAGTTTGGGAACAACTGTCACTCTGGCGGACCACTCTTTAGGAAGGAGCGAAACTCCAACAACACCATGTTGCAATCCTAAATGTTCCTTAGAAATAGCTCTTTCGTTTCTCAAGAAACTAAATACAAGGGCTGCAATATTTAAGATGTTGGGACTTTTCTTTTGTTATTTTTTAAGGTGAGATGACGCGAAGCTCTTGTGCCATGACTGTGAATAAGGACAGGTCTATTTAGCCAGCAGTTTGAGCAGAATGTGCTGGACGATCAGCATAAGAAAGGAAGGGCTTGGCTGTCGATTTTCTGGAAAAGGCTTCATTTACAGAGATACAGCAAGAAAAACAAGCTGACCTGACTGTGCATTCAGCTGGAACAACAAAGAAAGCCGGTGTCGAGAATGAGAACCCTTCAGGAAATCCAAGTTAACCCAAGTTAAATCATTCTGCAGTAATAAAAACTACATTGACACTTGATGGGCTTAAGGTTACCGAGAAATTAATTTTGGAAAAGTGGGAATCTTTATCATTCAGAGTAGAGTTTTGTTTATGTTTTGTTTTGTTTTGTTTTTAAGTATACTAGTCACAGGCCCTGTGCATATACCTGGGCAAAATGTAAACATTATTTAAGATGATGAAAAATACAAAATCATCCTAGCCTAAACTCTCATTTAGCTTTAAATGTATCTTAAAGCACATAAAGACTACTGGAAATAAAAAGGAAAAAGCATTAAGAGGGACCCACAAATGGATTCTATCAGATCTGGCCTCTGAGGATTAAGAACAAAGGCTAAGGCCCTACGGATAGATATCCAGCAGACATTTCCTTGTGATGCAAAACCTATGTTTAAGTGCAGTAAGTACGACTGAGGTTGGATTATCTGGAATAATAAGAAGCCTGGTTATTGGGGAGCCAAAACCATATCACGGAGCAGAACACAGACTTTGATGTCAAAAAAGTACACCTGGTTTCAAAAGTACACATACTGACTTTGGGATCATAGGTAAATTAGCTCATTTCTCTGTGCTTCAAACACCTCATCTGTAATACACAGGTAACAACACCTGCCACATTGGTTTGTGCTGGAATCAAAGAAGATAATACGGGCATGTGAAGTCCTTAGCACAGGTCAAGAAAATACAAAGCACTAAATAAACAGTCGCCTTTGCCACTCTAAGTAGCGGAACATAAAGATCTCATCTTGACTTGTGATGGAGAAGATATTTTGAAAGTCCGATGTCAGGGCACCAGGACATCGGCTGTTTAACCCTTGCCTGACTAACATGCACTCAGCAGAAATCTCTCTGGCCATGGCATCATTCTGTTTAGATTGCAAAGTGTACACGTTATTGAAGTAAGGCAT